CGTTCAGAAAGAGGTAAAAGCCCTTTGCCTGGAATGGACTCCCCTCCACACTAGAACCCATTCCTAGTTCTATCCCCACCACCACAACCACCCAAGCCTGCACGGTGCATGACAGCAGGCCAACGGGGCAGAATTCCACCTCCTAGGGGGGAAACACTTTTATTTGTTACAGAGAGAAACAGAGGGGACGTGGCCTTCGCCCAATGCCCTCGTACCCCATGGGAAGGGGCACCCGCCAGGATGCCGAGCCATCTCTCCTCCCCGCCCGGGGCTCCCTCACCTGGCCACGACGGCTCTATGCATGGCCTCCCGGCTGTAAGGGCACCGCCCCACCACCACGGCTGACCAGTAGACCGGCCGCTGGAGGAAATGCATCAGGAGGGCTCCCTGCAACCCCAGCACGTTCCAGCACGCCAGCTTGTCGCTGCAAGACATGGAGGCCGTCTGCGGCCCGCGGCCGGGCTTGATCCTCAGAAGGCCCACCATGTGGTAGGCGCCCCCTGGCTGCCGGGAGTCATCGGCCTCTCCCTGGACGGTCTTGGCGCCGGTTCTATGAACGTCCGCTGCTCGGGCTTCCGTGCCGTCCGTCCCCGAGGGCCCCACGCTGCCGGCTGAACCGCAGCCATCCATTCTGGGCCTCTTGGGAAAGAGGGCATCCGTTGTTTCTTCGGCACCCCTTTTAGCTTCCGGCGTCCCGCGACTCCCGCTGGGTGCGCCTGGGAGGTTCAGCGGCTCACACGGCTGGGCTTCTGCTTCCATCCTGGGGATGATGGAGGCGTCCCCGCCTGGAAGAACCCGAGGGGGCAGCTGCTGAGAAGGTGGAGGGAGGGAGACCGGCCGGCCGGCACTCTGACACATCAACCATAGAAGGGACAAGGAGCCGTCGGCAGAGAGAACTCCATCCATGAACACGGCCACCCACGTGGGCCCCCCAAAGGTGCGCCTCTGCTGAGCTGGGGGCTCGTGGCTATACCTGTGGGGTGTCAGCCGTCGCCTCCTCTGTCCGTGAACGGCCACCAAGCGTCCCTTTCTGCCCAGAAGCTCTTTGGCAACAGATCTGGGGATGCTCATCTCCAAGGCGTGTTTCTAAACCCAGAGGGTCCCTTAAAGCTGCTCTTATAAGTACTCACAAGGCGTGTGGCTGGAGAAGAACACGAAGCGGACCTGGGGCCTGAGAGCCCACTTCCCTTCCTCGGAGCCGGGGACGAAGATGCTGGGACCGCGGCAGGTCATGGCAAGGCCCAGCTGGTGCAGGAGGTACCTGGTGGGACGGGAGGACACCTTCCTGAGGAAGCGAAATGCATGCACATGCACACGCACCTCGATTCTGCCATCAAAGTTGTGAGAAAAGCGGCCTCCACCCTGCGGGGGGGGGGGGGGAGAAGCCGGTCGAAGCGGCTCGCAAACCAAGAGGGAGGGAAATCCACCTCCCCTGTTCTCTCTCCGCATCCGAACGTACCTCTGGAAGCTCCTCTTGGCCACCACTTCCGCGTGGCTGTCGTTCAGGACGTCCCCTGCAGAAGCGCAACCCAAAATCAGCAGAATAAGCCCCGGTTTCGCTCCCTTGGGGCCGGGGGGGGGGAGGAGGAAGCGGAATACAAAGCCAAGCCCAGTCTACAGGTGGGTTGTGTTGGCCCCCCCAGGAAGGACGGATCCAGCCCAGTCCAGCCGGGCAGGGAAAGGAGCCTGAGGCTTACCAGTCTTCCTCATCTCAGATTGTCCGATGCATTTTGTCCCGGTCCCCATGGCAACCACTTCTTTTTGTTTTGGAGGGAAGGAAAAACAAAGTTTAAGAATTGCAGCCCTTTCGGTCTCTGGATGTGTGTTCCCCCCCCGGGGGGGGCTCCTTGTCCGGGGGGGCTGGACTGGATGACCCACAGGGTCCCTTCCAGCTTTGGAATTCTTATTCGATGATGGTAAGGACGGCCATTTGCACATCTGGCTGCAGAGCGGGAGGTCAGGAGTTCGAGTCCCGCCACCCCACTGGGGCCTCCTTGGCAAGGGCTGGGCTGGACCGGGTCAGACCCCCAGGGTCCCTTCCAGCTCTGCAGCTTTAAGACGGAGGTACTGAAAGCTGCCTGCTCTCTCGCTCTCGCTCTCGCTCCCCTTTCCAACCCCCTCAGCCTGTCCTACCCCACGGGGTCGTCGTGAGCATAAAGTAGGGAGAGGAAGGGAAGCCACGCGGGCCTTACCGGGCTCCGTCCCGCCGTCCACCTTCAGCACGGCCGCCAGCAGCGTCCACTGGCGGCCCTCCGCCGCCTCCGGCTTCCCCCGCTTGGGCAGCCGCGCCTCGTAGTGGTCGTAGCACCGCGCAGCCACCGCGTCCGCTCCGCACATGGCGGCCCCCCTCCCCTTAGAGAGGGAGCGAGGGAGGGAAGCCACACTTCCGGCTCCCTTTCGACCGCGAGGGGACCGCAGCCAGGCGGCGCTCGAAGCGGGGAAACAACGTAGCGCCTCTGCCCCTCCCCGCGGGAAACGGAGCCGCCCTCCTTTCGCACAGCAACCGGCACTCAGGGGGAGTTGTTCTTCCTTCCTTTCCTCTTGGCACACACCGTAGAGTCAGCTCCCGTTTATTTACACAGGCGATTTCCGGGCTATTTTTGACGCCTGGTCTCCAAAGCGTCGCCAAAGCAAGCGGTTCCCCCAAAGATTATTATTATAATTATTATCATTATTAAATAGTCAAAGCTTTAAAAGCATTGACTGGTATTAGAGAACAGATACAGGTTTTAACAAAAAACTTAAGTACCTGCGAAACATCAGTGCAGTACCTATGCTGTTCCTAATTATTATTATTATTAATTATTATTAATTATTAATTATTATTAATTAATAATTATTAATGTCTCCCAGCGAGATTATCATTACTCTGGGTGGATTCAGATCTTGCCCCAGACACTATGGGCGTAATAACTCTTGCCCCTTATCAGTAGGGAGGAAGGAAAGTTGGGACGGTTTTTCTCAATACATCGTCCTCGCCATGTGCTGTCAAGTCAGTTCTGAGCAGGCTGCCAGACCTCAACACAGCCTCTCCAATCTGACTGCAAAAAACAATGTGAAGTTTTAAGTCCCTTTGTACATTTAAAAGGCCCATTGCAGACCCAGCCTGCCACAGCGGACTCTCGTAGTTAAAAGGACCAGCAGATGAAATGAGTTTGCACGCAGATGCCCTGAAAAATCAGCAAAGGACACATCCGTAGTAAAGAACAAGAGGACGGCTCTTTTATTGACAATTGGAAAAATACAGTTTGTGTCTCCCTGGAGGCTTTTCTCCCCTCTGCAGTCTGTCAGGTCACACGGAGGTCCCCTCGCCAGGACAATTTGGCTGGGTGTCCTTCTTCTTCTCTTCAGGCTTCATGGCCGGGAACAGCAACACCTCCTGCAAAATAGAAAGCATTTCTCACGTAAGCTTCTTTCTCAAAAGGGGGGGGGGATTCTCCTGAGAGGCCTCCGAAATGTGACCTCCAGCTCCCAAGGTCCGTGACAGATTCTGTAGCTTTCAGGAGGCACAAGATCTCAGACGGGACTCTCGCCTGTTCCCAAGAGACACGGCTTCTGCCTTCTGGTTCTTAAGACACACTTTGTGAACACAGCAGAAAATCTCTGTCCGCTCCCACCACAAGTCTGAATCCAGCATTAACGCAGATGACCCAAAGTGTGGCCAGCGCCCACTGCATGCTCCCGGGGGTGCTTACCTTGATGTTGTTTGAGTCCGTCAGAAACATAGTGAGGCGGTCGATGCCCATGCCCCAGCCGGCGGTGGGTGGCAGCCCATATTCCAGAGCTGTGCAGAAGTTATCATCAATGAACATGGCCTCATCATCTCCAGCCGCTTTGGCCTAAAGTTGTGGATAAAAAGCCAAGTCAAGGGTCATCCACTGAACTGGGGCTCCACTACGTAGGATGCAGTTGCACGTACGAGGAGAGAGAATCTTACAAAGGCTCTGAAACTAGATCCAGGAGCTGGGTGAAAAGGAGGATCACCTCCTCCCTCTGCCTCTCAAAATCTACGCGCAGCACTAATCTAATTCAGAATCCACACCTTGGCCTGTGCGCGGCACACCACCCAACAGATTTCATAGGCTTTGAACTAGTTTGTGTATCTAATCCATTCTCAGGATTTGGCAAAGTCCATAGACTTTGGAATTTTCAGCATGTATACAATATTGAAACTGCGCCGTCTACGTTGGCTTGGGCACGTCGTGAGAATGGCTGATGGTCGGATTCCAAAAGATCTCCTGTATGGAGAATTAGTGAAGGGAAGCCGCCCCAGAGGGAGACCACAGCTGCGTTACAAGGACATCTGCAAGCGGGATCTGAAGGCCTTAGGAATGGATCTCAACAGATGGGAAACCTTGACGTCTGAGCGTTCAGCCTGGAGGCAGGCGGTGCATCATGGCCTCTCCCAATTTGAAGAGACACTTGTACAGCAGACCGAGGCAAAGAGGCAGTCCCGAAACAAGCAAAACCAGGGAGCTGGACAGGGGACAGACTGGATTTGTCCCCAGTGTGGAAGGGATTGTCACTCTCGAATTGGCCTTCTCAGCCACACAAGACACTGTTCCAAGACCTCCATACAGAGCACGATACCATAGTCTCTCGAGACTGAAGGATGCCTACACAAGCACCACCCCATCGAGAGACGATCTCTCCTTAGGATCCTTTCTGGCCAGGCACTCAAGGGCTCCCCACCACATACCCTTCTGATCTCACCGTTGACCTACACTGAGACAGGAAGGGGCTCAGAATCAACCAGCTAACCACTGAACCTTATTTCTGGCTCCAAGCTTTGAGTGACCCAGCCGACAGACAACACGCCAGGTATTTCCAAGGGCCTTCCGCGCAGTCCCTGATTTGCAAGAGTTTAAGGGAGATGAAACCCTCACCAAAAGCACTAGGGTGACTGCATGGACGGATTCCCAGCTCCACGTCTCCCATGCAAGTGTTTGTTCCTTCAGGGTGTGTGGTGGTGCTGCTGCGATTATATTTGCAGGCTAACACCACAGAGGAGCAATAGCTGCCCACCTCCAACTGGGTGGCTGACTCCTCTTTCACGTCCTCATGAGCAAGAGGAGTAAAATGCAAGGACCGCCCCAACTCTAAGGGGTTCTTCCCTCAACACGCTCTACTTAAGGCAGCAAGTTGGACTAGACCAGCCGCTCTCAACGGGGAGTCGTGGCCCCCTTGAAGAGGGCCACAGATGGGAAACAATTCTTCACGCGTTGCCTTAGAAGGCTCGTTATGCGACTTCTACAATCCTGATTCGGCTGGGATCTCTTTCCTATTGTGTTTAAGGTCATTCTGGGGACAGGGGGAATGGCGGAACAGCACCGTTCGGTGTTCAGGATGAGACGTCCTTCGGCAAAGCAAGATTTAAAGGGGAACCTGCCTACCTCTCCCCTCCCCACCCCTCCAATCTAATTCAGAATCCACACCTTGGCCTGATCCTCAAAGAGCTGCCGTTGCCGGAAAGGGTCGTTCAACTCGGTGTAGGCGTTGCAGATTTCCTTCTTCATCACAAAGAGCTCAAAACGTTCCGTCAGCCCCTGCCGAGAGCGATGCCTGCGAGATCACGACAGGAAGAAAGGGTCAGAAGACTGGTCCGATGCTGCTGTTCAATCCCCAGCCCTCCAAGCCTCCTGGGGGGGGGGAGACCCTCCATAAGGATCCACCAACCCCCCCCTCCAAAACTGTCCAACGTGACTCTACAAGCACTGGAGACCCACATAAAAGGCCCATTCATTTCTGAACCCTCCCTCTTCTCCCCAGCTTACCACTTGGCCAGGGGGCTCATGATCTGGGGATGGTCGCAGATGAAAGTGGGATTGATGCATGTGACTTCCAAAAATTCCCCCACCAGCTGGAAAACCGAGGAAGGGGAAAGAGGGAAGGAAAAAGAAGAAATAGATAAGGGAATCTTCCTTCTCCTAAACAGCACAAATCACGTGGCTTCTTTTGCAGTTCCTCCTTCTCCCCCGGAAAGCTTAACCAACTCCACAACTGATGCACTAGGACCACATTCTTCCCTCTTCATAAGGAAGATGCTAGCCTTCTGGACACATTTTGAAATGAGTCGCTTGGACCAAACCATCACAGACCAATGGGATCTGAATGGATTCCATAAGCTAGGGGGTTTCTGGGCCCGATAGCTGCTTCTATTTCAAGGACGCTGAAGCCCCTCGATCTGTGTTATGAACGTATACGGTCGCAGAAGAGTTTGGAAAGCTTGGCAAAGCCAGGTCAGGCTGGCTCAGAAGCCAAATAGAGAAAAAAGGATGGTTGAGTGGGCAGAGAAAGATCAAAAAGGAGGTCACACCCATCTCCGCTCACCTTATCTAGGAGTCTAGCTGTCGTCCGCGGGGGCGGGCACTCAATGCCTCTCTCTTCGCAGATCGTGTCAAAAAATTTGCGGGTCTCTGTGTGCAGAAGATGAAGAAACAGGCAAAACAGTTGCTTGGCCCCCTTTGCAATTTTGAGAATGATAACTGGGCTCACTCTTATCAAAACAAGCCGACTGGCCCCATTGCAAATGAAGTCAGTTTCTCACCCTCTGTCTCCATCTGATCGGCTGCAGGAAATTTCACTCCCAAGACCTTCTCCAATTCATCCATCATACTGATCTTCTTAAAAGGTGGCGTGAAATCTACTTCATATGCTTGACCCTCTGGGCCTTCCGGATGGTATGTCAGCTTGTAGCCGCCAGTGATGTGTTTCACCATTCCTGCAGGATGAGCGCTTTGCGTTACCCATGTGGGTTTGCTTTCTGACCACATTTCCATACCATACTTTGCACCTCAAATCAAATCATGTTTCAGTCACTAACCTGAAAGCAACTGCTCCGTGATCTCCATCAAATCGTGGTAGTCTGCGTAAGCCATGTAAAACTCACAGGTAGTGAATTCCGGGTTGTGGGTTAAGTCAATGCCTTCGTTCCGGAACTGGCGCCCAATTTCATACACCCGATCCATTCCACCGACTACGAGCATCTAAGATACACAAAGACAAGTAAAGCCGCTTTCTTTAAGGAAGGGACAGCCCTCTTGCCCCTAATTTGCTCTTATGAGCAAATAATGGTCATAGACTTCAGCTGAATCCTCTGAACACTGGATCAGTACCTCTCTGATCCAGTGTTCAGAGGATTCTGCTGAAGTCTATGGGCAAGCCCTTTCAGGGGGTGGGGAGAAACGGGACAGAAAACCACTACTGCTGTATACGGGGCTCAATTTGCTTTGTGCTGGAATGGTGGAAACAGCACTCACATTTTTGCTGTTAAATGCAAAGTCAGGAATCACAGCCAATTTCTCCCAGTGGCTTTGAAACACTTTGTTTGGCCCTATGTTCTAGAGTCCCTAGATTTTGGCAAGAGAAATGCATAAGCCTGTCCACCTGCCCCAGTCAGATACTGACTGAGCTTGTATAATGAGACATTGACTGAGTGACCTCCAGTTTGCACGATGGCAAGCTACAGACCTCACACAGCACTAGGACAGCGAGGTGTTATTCTCTGCACTCTCCAACGGGATAGTATTGGGGCAAACGTTTGGGCAAATACTTCTTCCCCCCTCCTCCCATTTACTGCTATGCCCATCAAAACTTCTGGGATACTATTGGGGCAAACGCTTGGGCAAATACTCCCCCCCCCCATTTACTGCTATGCCCATCAAAACTTCTAAGACATTATAGTGCATGCCTTGGGGCCATTGCTAGGAGGGCTTTTCCAGATAACTTAGCCAGAGCCTCCCACTCCAGCACTGTTTTGCTCATGTATTCCCCATGCCTAAGGACCATCTGTTTGGGCATCAAACAGGCACCGTGTAAGGAAGCCTTTAGGCAGCTGAGAAGGGATTTCAGGGCAGGCAGCCTTCTCCACGTCAAGGGTTCACCTTGTGGTAGAGCTCTGGTGCAATCCGCATGTATAAGTTCATGTCCAGTTCGTTGTGATAGGTGATGAAAGGCTTTGCTACAGCCCCACCGGGTATGATGTTCATCATGGGCGTCTCAATCTAAAATCAAGAGACAAACAAACCACCTCAACTCGTCAGTTCTCACCCAGCCATTCCACCCTTCAAAATGCCTTATGGCCTCTTGCAAGCACAAAATGAAACATTTCCACCCTCCCAAAACTGGGGGGTGTGTGTGTGTGTGTCCCCTAAGAAAGCAAAAATATAGAGGAAGAGGCTCCTGGTCCAAATTTTTAAGGTGGGGGGCATGGGATGGGTCATAAAGTGAGGGAAGAAGATGCAACTGAGTAAAAGAAGGCTTGGTTCAATGGTGGAGGAATAAGAAATCCCCCCTTCTCAGAGAAAGTGGCCTCTGAAAAAAATTAGAAGGGGAAAACGTTTGAAATATTTGTATGCAGTAACTAGAATTCATAATTTGAAAAAACAAAAACTCATTTCTATTTTAGTTATACAGAACTTTATTATTCATCCTGTTAAAAGGCAAAGTGTTATTTTATGGCTGCATAATACTGAATTATAATTTAACATTGTTGGATCCCAAATTTTGCTTGGCCTTCTTCCGCCCCAACGACTCCTCCAAAGAAGGAGCAGGATTCTCTTTCTGACCCTGCAGGGGGGCTGCAAAAGGGTTTTTTTCTCTCTCTCGACATATCTGCAGGCTGTGGTGGATTTTACAAGCGCGGCAAAACCAGAAACACTTACTTCTAAAAAGCCCAACGTGTCCAAGAAGCTTCGAAGGTACGTTATAATCTTCGCTCGGATTATGAATTTCTGCCTCACAAAATCGTTAAGAATTAAATCCAGGTATCTCTGTCGAAACCTGGTTTCCTGAAAGATCCAGAGTCCAGTTTAGGGCATGAAGCAGACTGAAGAAAAAATCATCGGTTCCCTCTTAAGAGAAACCAAGAGAAGATCAGTAACTACATTACCTTGTCTTTGAGTCCGAAATGAAGATGAGGCAACATATGCAGGCATGGAGACAGCAGGGTGATCTCGTAAGGAATGATACTCAATTCCCCTTTCTTAGTCTTGCCAGGATTCCCCTGGACACCAATGATGTCTCCACGGCGAAGCTTGTTGTTAATGTGCGTGAATTCCTCCTCTGATTTGTAATTTCTGGGATAAAAGTTTTACGAAATGCATTTCAAAGTACAGTTCACAGAGCATTGCAGGGTGGTATGTAATTATGCCCTCCTGGCCACTGGAAAAAAAAAATCAAACCCATCTGTGGCAGTGACTTGCATGCCTACAGTGTCTTGTAACATGCTACAACCAGATATTACTGATGCAAGCAACTAAGCAATTGTCACAAAATATAGGCCCAAAGGAGAAATCAGTGAAGTGATGTAAGAGCGGGGGGAACAGCAGGCAAAGCCCAACACTTCACACATTCTGTCAAAACTCATGTGTTTAAACAGTCACTTAAAAATAGGCTGCCCTTTGGGATGGCATCCAGAACAAGCTGCCCACTGGGATGACATCATCCACTGGGATAGTCTTAGGGTGTGGCTAGATGGCCAGAGTAACTGAGGTCAGATCATGCTAAACAGGGCTGCTCTGAGGTGCCATATGTCACTCAGGATGGTCCTTGCATCCACATGCAAGGATCAACCACACTGCACTGGTTCGGCCCTCCTTTCCCTGTTAAAGGGAAAATGGAAAAAAGCAGAACCACAAAAACCCTCCTCCTTGTTCCTTCCTCTGTGCTTTGCTTAAGTCGCTTCATGATCTTGGAAAATCAAAAGCTTCCTCCAGTAGAGGCAGGAGAGGGTGGAAGCTTTCAATTCCTCCCCCTCCCCAAGTGTTATATTACATCAGAACAGACATAGGATTTTTTTTGTTTCCTCACTCTCTTCCTCTACAGGGTAGCAGGAACAAGCTTTCAGTTTCCAAGGATCGTGAAACAGCTTAAGCAAAAGGTAAGCTTAAGTAATCTATACTTTGGTTTGATCTCAGCGATCACACATGCTGGAACTGAACTGATACGAAACAACCCTATCAGAACCAAAACTACAACAGCCCCTGACCCAGACCCCAAAAGGTGTAGACAGGCATGGATCTGGGACAAGCTAGTTTGGGATGGCCTGTAGGTCATGTGGTTGCCATGAAACACAGCAAACCACCTCATCACTACTGCAAACCCACCCACAGTAAAAAAATCTAACCACACCCTTGGCTCTGCAACTGGCATTTGATTTCACTTTCACTCTGCTTTCTGCCTTATTGAAAGGACTAGTAAAAGGAACAAATAAACACAGATCTTTTTTAAAAAGAGTGAAAGAATGCTTACCTGGAGTTTGCCATAACTTGTAACTTAACTCCTTCTCCACGAAGATCATAGAAAATCAGCTTTCCTCCAGAGGCACGTTTTGCATGGATCCGACCTAATTTTTTTTAAGAAACACAAAAGTGAAACTGACAGAAGGAAATGAAACATTTGGAACAATAAAAAATTCCTTGGCCAAAGTAAACACAAGCAGAAAACAGTTGCCATGCCCACATGCAGAGGAAAACAACAGCTGATTTCCTGGAAGCCTTTTGCTGGAAATCAGCTGCTAATGTGGGAAGATCTGTTGATCTTAATCTCAAATTGCTAAATTTTAAGAACTGCCGTCAGAGAAACAGTCCAATTCCCTGGTACAAACTTCAGTATAAACAAAGAGGTATTTATAAAGGCTCCCAGAGAATGCCTTACCTGCCACCCTTAAGGTGACATCTGACAGGTGATCCCCAGCCTGCAGGTGGCTGTACTTTTCTATGAAGTCTGTCAGAGACAGGTCCACGTGGAATTTATGTGGGTAGGGATCTTCCGAGGTACCCTTCAGCTGCTGGATGGCCTGACTGCGGATCTTATAATATTGCTACCAGAGAGAAAAACATAAGCAAAAGAGAAAGCAAAAGATCTCACACCCATCTGTGCGGGAATCAACTTCACCTAAGAGGACAAGAAGTCACGAATTTCTCTGGAAACCGGGAGTTTTCTCAAGAACCATCTTATAAAGGAAACTCAGCCCCAAAGCATATCCTCTGAGCCAAGGTGGGACCCACGTTTACACCAAGGAAAGACGTCAACTGCCTCTCCCAGCACCCCATGGACACCAGGGAAGGGTGGACCCCCCAGGAACCTTCCTCCACTCATAAATCATCATCCTCAGGTCCTATGCACAGCCAATTAGGCAAGCAAGCATTATCCATCCATCGTTGGCAACATTTTCGGCATCGTCCGAAGAAACAAGAATTGCTTCGGGTTTTTTTATTGAACCCCCCCCCAAAACCCCCCAATTTTTGTTCATTTAAACGGTCCCCCCACCTCCCCTTTTCCTCCCTCCCCTTTAAGCCTGCAGAGAAGCGGTCCCCACCCCCTCCCGGAGCCCCCTTTTCTTCCTCCTCCTCCTCCTCTCCTCACGTTGGGATCCAAGCTCTCCTCGTCGGCCGCCCCGCCGTCCAGCAGCTGTTGCGGAGGATGATGAGGCGGCGGCTTCTTCTTCTCCTCCTCCTTCTGCTTCGCCTCCTTCTCCGCCAACTTCTTCTCCGCCTTCAGGCGCCGCTTCAGCTCGCTGCCAAGGCAAGCGGAGGGTCAGCCGGGGGCCGAATCCTCCTCACCCCCCGCCTGCACGATCCCCCAA